CAAGGTTGTGCATACATCATTATTTACCTCTGTCCCACCTGGCCCATGTAAACCTGCCTAATTGTTCTCCCGTCTGCCTTGTTTTTCCATTCCTTCTTGTGTATGGCCCCCCTCCCTAGCACCCAAACTAGCCTGTGTCTATTCCCTACCCTGTGCTCCACCTTCCCCTCCCTCCCCTCACCCAACCCCCACATCCCAGTAACCAGCAAAGAATCCCCCCACCTTCAGTATGGGTTATTTTTCTTAGTCTTTTATAGTAGTGGTCCTATGCAGTATTTCGCCTTTTGTGAGTGACTAATTTCACTCAACACAATGTCCTCAAGGTTTATCCATGTTATGCAGTGGCTTGCAGCTTCCTTGTTATTCTTCAACCTCATATGTTTCGTAAGCTGAAAGTCACTCTACCGGTGGCATAGTCCAGGACATGTAAACAACAGACAAGGAGGACAACGAGGAGGAGAGGACTCTTGGGAGTTCTCCCGCCATGTGACTCCGAATTACAGCAGTGCTCAATGTGCTTCCCTCATGTACTGGTCTTCATAGTAGGGTTGGAATGTCGTTCTGTGTTGAAGAGGATCATTCAAACTCTAAAGGTTTGTTTGAAGTAGCTTCTTTTCAGAACAGTCAAATTCAGGTAGTCAGTCATTTTAACTGAACTTTACTGCTTTTTTAGAGACTCAGCTGAATAGAGCTTCCGAGGTGAAAATTAACTGTGGCTAGTGCTCTGGATGGATCGACACAGTGGCTGCAACAAGGGACTCAGATGCAGGAAGGATTTGGGGGATGGTGCAGAACTGGGCAGTGTTTCCTTCTATTGTATATAGGGTTGCTGTGAGTCAGAACCAAATGGACAGCACCTAACAACAACAGGGCCACCACCCCAGGGCTACCCCCACCACCATGTAAAACATGTGGAACAAAGCCATCCCCTTGGACTGCTGGCCGATGGCAGGTGTGATGGACAAAATTCCATTTCCAACACAGCTCTGTGAGAGTCCTAAGCTCTGTGCCTGTAAACGTGACTGTTTGGAAATTGGGTCATACCAAAGTACCAAGGTGGTACTGTGGGCTAAATGTTGAGCTTCTAACTAGAAGGTCAGCAATTCAAACCTCCCAACAGCTCCATGGGAGAAAGAGAAAGCTGTCTGCTCCCATACATAAAAGACTGACAGTCTCGAGAAACCCTAGGGAACAGTTCTCCTCAGTCCTAGAGGGTCGTGATGAGTTGGACTGGACCAGATGGCAGTGGGCAGCAGGGAGACCAGAGTAGGAAAGGTCCTGACCCTAGCCTCTTCTGAGTGATGTCATACAAGAACCCGGAAAAGGCCCAGAGACAATAGGGAGGATAAACGCTGGGTGAGGCTACACCTATAGGGAGTTAAGGGGTGCCCAGGATTTCTGGGCATCCCACTGGCATACTGGTTAAATGCTCAGCTGCTACAGATAGGTTAGTGGTTCAAATCCACCCAGCAGCTCGATGAGAGAAAGACCTGGGCACTTGCACTTGTAAAGATGACAGGCTAGAGTACCCTCTAGGGCGGTCCCCTTCTGTCCTGTACGGTCACTAAGAGTTGGAATCAGCTCAATGGGACACAACAGCAATACTCTTTATTATATAAGCATGTTGTTGTTGTGAACTGCCGTCGAGTTGATTCCGAACCATAGCGACCCTGTTGTATAGGGTTTCCAAGGAGCAGCTGGTGAGTTTGAACCACCGACCTTGCAGTTCAAACAACTTTGCAGTCTGATGCATTAGCCCACAGCGCCACCCCAGGACTCCTGTAAGAGTATAGCATATTCTAATTAATCCTCATAAACTACTGTTACCATAAGAACTATGACCTACAAAACCCTAGGGGGAAGTTCTTCTCTGGCGCACTCCACAGCACTCAACAACAACAACAACCAGACACTGAAAGAGACAAGTACCATCCCCTAGAGGTCAGAGAGAGAGAGAGAGAGAGAACGAGCCTAGCCCTGTCAACGCCCTGCATCCAGACCCCGAGCCTCCAAACTCAAACAGTAAACCCTGTCCTTCACAGTCCCCATGGGTGGAGTTCTATGGTGG